TGGGTAATTTTAAGTGTTGTGTAGATTTAAGGGCCTTCACTCCTTAAAACTCCTGAACTCTGTCCCCCACAAAATTCCTGGCTCCAATCACTTTTAAAAAGCAGCTCTTGACACACTATACAAAGCCTGGGGCAGCCCTCCAGATAACAAAAGTTGTGTGTTCCTGGGCTACAGCAAGCAAACCTAATATTAGGAAGCTATTTTTAAAAGAGGAGGGATTTTGGATTGACTAATAGATTGCATTCTGTTTTTCTTGATAGCCAAAACTTTCTTGGAAAGTGATAAAGATTAAACTGATAATAAAAAAGGAAAAATAGCAGCCTTTAAATAAATTGAAACAGCCCCAAATAGAAGTATAAGTAACAGCAAAAGCCAACAACAGCGTGTGTCCTTAACAGGGCTCATTCATGCTTTAATGTGAAAAAATGAAGTTTTGCTTTCTTTGATTATGTCCTTGGGAGGGCAAAGCATATATAAGAGGAGGAAACTTAAGATCAGATGAAATGATCGGTCACTGTAACGTATTTTGCACTTGCAAGTGAAAATGGGAAGCTTTATGATATAGGCATTCCTACTCAAGACATTTCTTGCCTTTTTTCTTCATTATGCTTTAAGGTTTCCTTGAACAAGGACTACTAGTTAAAGATGAAAAGAAATTAAGAGAACATTATCAGTCAACTATACAGTTCAAGTTGGACATGCTATCACTTTTTCCAACCGATCTGGGTTTTTTCCAATTTGGAATGAACTATCCTGAGTTACGATTTAACCGGTTGCTGAGACTTGGCCGGCTATTTGAGTTTTTTGACCGAACAGAAACAAGAACAAACTATCCAAATATATTTCGTATTGGGAACCTTGTTTTGTATATTCTCATTATTATTCACTGGAATGCATGTATATATTTTGCCATTTCCAAGCTAATTGGGTTCGGAACAGACAGCTGGGTTTATCCCAATATCTCCCATCCAGAACATGGACGTCTGTCCAGAAAGTATATTTACAGTTTATACTGGTCAACGTTGACCCTGACGACCATTGGAGAAACTCCATCTCCAGTGAAAGATGAGGAGTATTTGTTTGTGGTCATTGACTTTTTAGTGGGTGTGCTTATTTTTGCTACCATTGTGGGTAATGTAGGCTCTATGATTTCTAACATGAATGCCTCTAGGACAGAGTTCCAGGCCAAGGTTGATTCCATCAAGCAATACTTGCACTTTCGAAAGGTCACTAAAGATTTGGAAGCAAGGGTAATTAAATGGTTTGATTATCTATGGACCAATAAGAAAACAGTCGAAGAAACTAAAGTCCTGAAGTACCTCCCTGATAAACTGAAGGCTGAAATTGCCATAAATGTCCATTTGGAAACACTAAGGAAAGTGCGGATCTTCCAAGATTGTGAAGCTGGGCTCCTCGTTGAGTTGGTGTTGAAGTTAAAACCTACTGTTTTCAGTCCTGGAGATTATATATGCAAAAAAGGTGATATCGGAAGAGAGATGTATATTATTAAAGAAGGGAAACTGGCTGTTGTGGCAGATGATGGGGTGACACAGTTTGTGGTTCTAAGCGATGGCAGCTACTTTGGAGAAATCAGCATCTTAAACATCAAAGGCAGCAAATCTGGCAACAGAAGAACCGCAAATATAAAAAGCATAGGTTATTCTGATCTATTCTGTTTGTCTAAAGATGACTTGATGGAAGCTCTCACAGAATATCCTGAGGCCAAAAAGGCACTGGAAGAAAAAGGACGGCAAATTTTGATGAAAGATAACTTAATTGATGAGGAAGCAGCTAAAGCAGGAGCAGACCCCAAAGACTTGGAAGAAAAAATAGACAAACTTGAATCAGCTCTGGATATTCTTCAGACGAGGTTTGCTAGACTTTTAGCAGAGTATACTGCCTCGCAGGCTAAAATCAAGCAGAGACTTGTAGAAGTTGAAACCAAAATGAAGAAGTATGGAAGTGCTATTTTGTCAGATGCAGCAGATGAGGTAGAAAAGCCAGAAGAACAGAAAAATAATTAAGTGTGCATGGTCATCACCATCTAGCACAGAACTACTGCACCCTAAAATATGAACACACTTGCAAGTATGCGAACAAGGTTGTTTTATATCATCTGAAAGCAGCAAGTTTGTATAGTTTTTAACTGAAGCAATTGTCTTCTAAATAGTAAATGCTGAACTTTTATGATCTTTTTAGAAACAGATTTTCACATTTGTTTTATTCGTTTTGTATTAGGTACAGATTTTCTATGAGTGATGATCAGATCTTATTATTCGGTGCTTGTACAGACCTGATCAGATTTATCATCATAGCTTTGCAACATGTACCTGCTGCAAAGAGAGACTTATATGAATGGAATAGTGAATAGTCTTACGATACTGATGCATAAATATAACAATATGACTTGCACGTTTTCTACCTTGAAATAGCAGTTTTTCCATTAGTATAATGCATCCATTTCACATGATTTCTTTTCTGCTCATTTTAAAAAACTGAGATTAATGTCTGGGAGAAGTTGCCAGAATGTGTGTGTTGGAAAACAGAGTGCATTTGACCAAATGCAGATATGAGCCCGTGTGTGGCAGCAAAATATCCATATTTCTCTGTCCTCATTATTGCATCAGTAGAATACCATCCAGCAACCCTGTTTAAGGTGACTCACATCCTGATGGGTTAAGGAGAGAAGGTAGATCTTTCTTTGGGCTGCTGTGACAGACATGCTCAACATTTTTCTGACAAAGCAAAACATTTGCTCAGAGTTGGATGCTACTTTGACAAAAATAAAAGAGCTAAGAGGGTTAACATGAGTTTTGCTACCTGTGGGCTAAGGTTATGAGGGAGTGGGTTCAAGAAGTGATTAATGCTTCTTTGAGGGAGGAAATGGTCTCTCCCTCCCCCACCCCAAGGGAGTTGGTGGTATATCCTTCTAGAAAAGGTCCACTCTCAATCCTAGAATGTTAGACAACTTCTGTCCAATCTCTGATCTTCTCTTTTAGGGAACATTCTGGTCAAAGCGGTAGAGCTTCATTGCAAAGATGAAGCTGTCTATCTAAATCCCTTCCGGTCACAGTTCAGATCTGGGCATGGGACAGAAATGGTATTGTTTGCTCTGGTGGATGACCTCCATAGGAATCTGGATGATGGAAGTGGCTTCTGATACCATCAACCTTGCTATCCTTCTGGACTATCTAGAAGGGTTAGGGAGCAGGAAGCAGTCAGTTACAGTCATTCCACTCCTTCTGGGAGGTATCAGTTAATACTGGTGGGGGATGGATGGTTGAATCCTTAGGCTCTCCTTTTGGTGCCACAGCGTTTTGACATTCTCCTCATATTATTTATATCTACATGAAACTGCTGGGGGATGCCATGCATTCATTTTGGCTGAGGTACCATTGGTATGCTGCTGATAGCCAGTTATTTGATGTCTGGAGGCTGTAAGTATAGAATGGGATGAAACAAGATGAAGTTGAATGCCACCACAATGGAATAGTTGTTTATCCTGCAATCATATGAGAACTGGTTTTAGAGGGATAGTGTTCTCCCCAGAGTAGCAGGCCTGCCACTTAGAGGTGCTCTTTAACTCACAACTATGCCTAGACCATCAGGTGGAGACTCCGGTCAGATTGGTTTTGCCCAGCCATGGCCAGTATGCCAGTTGTGTAATTTCTTGGAGCTAGACTTCTCGAATGTAGCTATCCATACCCTCATTATCTTTAGATTAAATCAGTACAATGCACTCACCCTAGGGCTGCCCTTGAAGAATATTTAGAAACTACCACTGATGCAGAATGCAGCAACCTGCATGCTGAGTAGTGAGAGCAAGTTCAGTAGAGTAACATCTATACTGTGAATTCTGTACAATATAGGCTTTTGAGTGCAACTCAAGGTGTTGGTATTGATCTTGAAAGCACTACAGGGCTTATGCCCAGATTTCTTATGACTTGTGTGTGCCTTTGAGTCAATGTTGATTCCTGGCGTCTGCCTGGACAAGTCCCTGCGGTTTACTTGGCAAGATTTCGGAAGTGGCCTGCCATTGCCTCCTTCCTAGGGCTGAGAGAGAGGGACTGTCCCAAGGTCACCCAGCTGGCTTCATGCCTAAGGTGGGACTAGACCTCACAGACTCCCAGTTTTTAGCCCGATGCCTTAACCACTACACCAAACTGGCTCTCTTTTTAATGACTGCCTACTCCCTAATATTCTAGCCAGCCTGTCCATTCTACCTGGAAGAGGTGCTATGAGTCCTTTTAACGTGGGAGGCGAAGGGGTCTGGAAATCATGCTTCACCACCACTGCCCTTTCTGGAATAAGCTCCCATCCTCCCAAGATCTACACGAGACCTATACTTGCTATCTTCAGGAGAGAGTTATAATTTGGCTTTTCAGACAAGCTTTTAGACATTAGCATCTAGTACTTGTTCCTTATTTATTTATTTAGCAATATTTATAGTCTATCCCAATCCTTACAGAGACTGGGTGGGCTACTACAAATTCATAATCCAAATATTAAAAAGACCATTGAACAACAGTATCCATAAATAACAGATAAACATTATCATAAGCACCCATACGTAAACTAATCTAAGAGCCAAAACTGGCTGCAGGGTTGGAGCCATCTGTACCTCTGGAGGAAGAGTATTCTGGGGAGAGTATTTTATTGGGTAGGGCCCGGTACAGAAAAGGTCTCTTGCCTGGTCCACCCCGCATGTACTTCACAAAGAGAGGGAAACTGTGACATGCCCTCCTGATGACTAAACCAGATGGGCCCATCTGGCACTTGCAAGGCATGGCCTGATGTAACCTGGTGCTGCACCATAAAGGGCTTTCAAAGTGATGACCAGCACACTGAACTGGGTCTGGAAGCCTACTAGCAACCAATGCAGTGACTTCAGGATAAGTGTTATTCTTACCTTTAGGGTTGTTCCAGCAGGAATCTAGCCAGCACATCTTGTACCAGCTGCAGCTTCCAGACCATCTGTGTAGGCTCAAACTTGAGCTTCTACCAATGCTCAGTGGTGCCCACCTTTGGCTTTTCACTACCTTTGTCATCATTCATGGGATCAGCGAGTGGGCAAAGGCCTTGCCAGAGTGATCTCATCCAGAGCTTTGGCTGCCTCCACGATTCACAGTCAGCAGGCACAAGACGGAGCTGCCCACCAACTTTTATGGACATTCCACCAATGCCCTCTGGAAACTTTCTGAATTCATTAGGTGTCTGGGGATGCTGTGATCCAATCTGACAAGGAAGTGATGTTACCATCATGAAAGGCAGATATTAACATTCTCCATTTTCAGATCAAGTCTCATCTGTGCTGAAGTGAAGACCAGATCAAGCATGTGCACACCAAAATGGATCAGGACTGTGATTACTTGAGACAAGCCAATGATAGCCATGAGTGTCATAAGCTACACCAGAACATGTTTAGGGCATGAAGATCAAAATTATTCAAGACTAAAAGCCTTGGGAACTCAACTGCAAACTCCAAGATGAGATCCAGGAACTCATGGAGGGTCATGTTTTATTTTGGGGTGTGTTGCATTTTAAACCTGATTTTTATATATTTTAGTGTGGCTGGTTTTATCATGCTTTTATTAGTATCTTTTGTGAACCACTCAGACTTTTTATAATTGAGTGGTACATAAAAATAGTAAATAAATAAATATCATGTAGAGGCCTGAACGATGAATGAAGTATTTGTATGCTTATCACAAAAATGAACTTTTTTCCACTGACACTCTCTTCTCAGTGGAAAGTCCTGATGAAATGCCCAGCTTTTATTCATTCATAAATATACATCATTTGAGGATTGGTGAGCAGCTGTGGAAGTCCTTTTGCTGAAATTCGTTCAGCTGTTATAGGTACCTGAAACAGGAAAGGATGGGGGCCTTTTGCAGAAAGGAATAATAACTGACAGGAGAGGCAGAGAGAAAAGTAAGGAACTTTAAGGCAGACTTTTATTTCTATTTATTTTTCTGAGGTGAAATAAATCTACAAAACAGCTGTGCAAAATCTGTCCTAGGCAGAGCAAATTAGCTGTTAAAGCCAGAGTAATTTTTTAGAATCCTGCCTAACAGTCTTCAAAGTGGTTCAGTGATAGTAATGCCCCACCAAACAGCTTCCATGAATGTTGATTTCTGTTTCCACAATCTCTGCTGATAGTAGATCCAAAAAATATGTTCATTTTACTGCTACTGTCACTTCTGATTCTAAATTAATCTTGCATTTCTCCAGAAAGGAGAATTTGAATAGTTCCATCTCCAATACTTAAATTATTTTCCTCTAGATTCCTCTGATTTTTCAAGGCTTGAAAACTGGAATGAGTTTCAGAACAGTCTTGAGTTTTCTAGTTAGTCTTTTAAAAAAAATGTTTTGGAAGCTAATTCCACCCTCCTCTATTTTTTTCAGCGTGGCCTTAAAGATGTCCAAAAAGTATCTCTTGGGAGGCAAAATATTCCCAATCATCTCATTTTACCAGGGTCTAAAATAAAAAATGGCCTTCTGGATGGGAAGAAAAGGAAGCAGTTTCTTATCTTCAATGACCTTTAGTCTTCTGGTTTTAACTATCATTAAAATGTTTCTAGATGTAATAAAAGTTGAAGTATGAGCCAAATTTCAACCCTTCTCCACTTCTGTGTTAGCCACAGATTTTTTCCCTCCCCAACAATGAACAAAAATGCACGTTATACATGTACACGTGCACACTCACAAAAGAGCAGAAATTCAGTGCTCTTGAAGTGAAAGGCTGGGACATCATCCTTACTCCCACATAAGCATGCAACAGATCACAGCCTTGCAGGCTTGTTAATTTCCTATCATCGTCAATGGCCCAGGAGGATAATTTTTTTATGCCTTTGATTAGAATTCTCACAGAGGAGGGGGAGTGGTGGAACATGCCCCCCAATCTCATTTATTCAGGCATAAGCTGTTCAGTGTGGTCAGTGAGCTTACTGCATGGCTACCTGATCAGACATGCAAGAATCCAGACAACCACAGATGACATCAAAGAGATACAAGAACCTCAAAG